AGGAGGAGGAGGAGGAGGAGGAAGAGGAGGAGGAGGAGCAAAAACAGGAAAACGAGAAAGAGTGGGATGATGATGATGATGATGATGATGATGATGATGATGATGATGATGATGACGATGATGATGACGATGATGATGATGATGTCTTCAACAACAAACAACAACAACAACAACAACAACAACAACAACAACAACAACAACAACAACAACAACAACAACAACAAGAAAAACAAGCTATATATATAGTCACACCAGTCCTAGCTGCCACCACCACCACTACCGCGACCACCACCAAAAGCCACCACCACCTACCCGAGATGCTGCTGTTGGAGGAGAGAGGGCGGCTGGCGGGAGCCACGCCTGTCATTAGGGGCACCTTGGGCGAGAGGTTGGAGGACGGACTGACTTTGGTGTCGGGGGAGTCAGGCATACCGCAGTCACGGAAGTCTGGGGAAGACACAGACACGGACCTCCATTGTTACTTTGGTTGGGTTTTGTTAGTTAGTTTGTTTTGTGTATGTGTTTGTCTGTTTATTTGTTTGTCTGTCTTTTTGTTTGTTTGTTTGTTTGTTCGTCTGTGGTATTTTGAACTGTTTTTTAATTCTTTCTTTTTATTGATCAGTAACAGAAAGATATACGAAATATTAGTAAGAACGATAAAAGAAGTAATAATAGCTTATTATGTTGTTCATATTATTACTGTTAGGTTTTTTCCCCTGGGTTTTCTTTGCAGTTATCATCGTTGCTGCTGCTGCTGCTGTCGCTGCTGCAGCTGTTTTTATTGCTGTTGTTATTGCTGCTGCTGCTGCTGCTGGTGTTATTATTGCTATATCATTGTTGTTATTGTTGGTGTTATGTCACTGTAATAGGGGTTATTACTGTATTGTCATTGTTGTTGTGCCATTGATTTTGCGGGTGAGCTTGTTCATAACTTTGTTAAATTATAGCAGTTGCTATTAGAGAGTTGTAGATGATCATTAAAGTTGCTTAGGTGTTGTTTATGAGGTTTTATGGATCCTGTCGTTGTTATTAATTATGTTTCTGCAAAGCGAACATGGAATGTGTTCTTTCCTTTTTTTTTTTTTTTTTGTTTCAAACCAAATTTGGCAAACCAATAACATTGTGTTTTTAGTAGAAGTAATACAATACTAGAGAAACTGAAACACCCTTTTTTTTTTTCTTTTTTTTTTGTTGAAAAGAGAACACAGAATAAATTCGGAAATGTTATAACTGAAAAGCGGATATTATATTATATCACGTTATGATTAGATTTGTTCGCAAAAGCGGCCACAAAAGAATGAAGTGAAGATGTCACCAAATAAAATGCATGGACAGATAAAGAATGAAAGGAAAATGCATAAAATAAAAGGGTAAGTGTAGCCTGAAAACAAATCATAATAGAAGGACGAACAGCTCAAAATTAAAGGACAGCGAGAGAACAAAGAAAAGGAGGATTACAACAGAAAGAAAAAAAGAGAGTGATGCAATCAAGAGGTTTAGAAAGAAAAAGAAGAGTGTTAATAAGGGGGTGAATAAACGACTAAGGAAATGAGGAAAGGAGTCATTGAGTGAAGAAAAGGCAGAATAAGAGAGAGAAGGAAAGAAGAGATGAGAAAGAGAACTCTGGAAAGACGGACAATATAACCGGAGAAAAGCAATTCATAATTAATTTAATTGTTTTTCAAAAAACCATACCGTATATTCGACAAGTTTTCTACGGTGTAAACCTAGGTAAACCTAAATCTATCGAAACAAATGCTTGGCATTATGGTGAAATCGGGCGCCTGTCTAAATAATTAATTCGGAGAAATCAACACGTTTCCACCAGACGGGAAATACTTATCTTTTTTCCTTTTTGTTGGTCAACACCTTTCATTTAAAAACGTATTTATTAAAAAGATTTTACTTTTAAAAAACGTTCATGAAAAGCACAAAAAATATAAATTTTCAGTTTCCAATGACTGTCAAGCTTTGAAAGTCACCAAAATGTGATGGCCAATTTACTCGCTAAGTTTACCTTTGACACTATACGACCCTCACCCCCTTCAATCGCAAACATCCCGACTTCTATTCTAGATAAATGGGTATTTGTCATCCAAAGCAAGAAAAGTTAATAAACTTTGAGATGATACCCAATACGTCTATATGCTCAAAATTGACGAGCACCTGCTTCCATCGTGTCGTTATACACTGAGATTTTGACTTTCGGGCTATTAATTGCGGCTTTACCTTCCGGTCTTAATTTTTGGCGACGCAAATTCATACCAGACACCGTTCCGATATTCCAGAAGTAAGTAACAGACAACAGACCGGCAATAATATAAAAGTAAAAGGCTTTGAGTTCGATTTCCAATCATGTTAAACCCCGGTAAGACTATGCATCATAAAAGTATTTACTTTACCTTATTTCCTTCCCTCAGTTGCACTCGGTTCGTCTTTTGGATAGTCCGTACAGAGGCAAACTACGACAACACTCTCTAAACTGTCGCGTTGCCTCACTGGACAAATATGGCCCACATAAATTTAGAATTATTAGAATCGATAGACTCGATGAAGGGAAATCGTTAGATCCTTGGGCACGAATTTAAACAAGATTGGAAGCTATCCTTTTGGTTGGACTCTAAAATAATGGTTTTTTGTTGTTGTTTTGTTGTTGGGGTTTTTTTTTACTAATAAAACCCCGTTGTCTCAATCGCTCTGACTCACAGATTAGATGGTTCTGCTACCGACGTCATGAAAATAACTGAAACTGGAAAACATTGTTTCGCTTTATGTACCTGCTGCGTGAGAAACCTTTACGTGACAGCCGTCCAGGCGCTTACGTCTTTGACCAGCCAGCGTCATCAGAATCTGCCGCCTGGCACTGACCGCTCGTCATACAACGTGATGACGAACGGACAAACCAACAGGTGTTGCCACTTTTAAATATAAAAAAAAGAAGAAAAATACCGATTCAGTCAGTGTGTCCTTCGGTCAGATTGGCCAATGATTTGACACACTTGTGGTTTTACATTCGGATCCGTATACTGTGGAATGAGAAACTTGAACCTTCTAGTCTTTTCCATGCGTGTCGGCAGAGTATCAGACAAGGGTTACCCGATTAATAAAAATTATCTAAAAAATGTAATCTTCGTTGCATTGTTTTGTCCCCATGTTTGCTCAGCCCCAACTCCCATCTTTTTCCCCCTTTTAACCAATTTTTAAAAAAGAATATTGACAGATGGAACTGATCATTTTGTGAGAGTTTTTTAGTAAATGGGTGTTGTTGTTCTTCTTCTTCTTCTTGTTAATTATTCTTTACCATCTTGTATAAGTATACTTACGACCTTAGAGCATGCATCAGAGTAACATTGAGTGTGTATCTAGCTTAAGATTATTATTGTTTATTCTGCTGCTCATTTATATTAAGCATGTGATTGTAAGCCTACGTTTGTGTGCATGTGTGTGTGTGCATGTGTGTGCGTGTGTACACGTGGTGAAATACCAAACATATGTGCCAGGAACTGGACAATAAAGATCTTTGAATCATATTTTATCTTATCTTATCTTATCGTATCTTATCTTATAGCCAATTTGACAAGTACAATCTTTTCCTTGTAAACCAAACCTGTTTTCTGTCGGAAGTGATTCGACACCTTAAGTAAACAGTACTATATCTCGTGCTACTTGACTGTCAGAAAAGAATGTGACATCCAGGTCTGTCAAAATGCACAGTTGTCCATCATCAGACTTTCAGATCCAATCCAACCATACCCTGATCGCACTGACCAGCCTCTGTCAGATCAATACACACACTGCTTAATGTACGACAAAATGTACAAGTCTGCTTCGCATGTTTATTATTAGAAGGAACACCTGCTGGTGAACGTTTGGTGCTTTGTGTGGGGGTTTTCCTTTAGCAAGAAGAATTTCCGTTTCGCTGACGGTATAACGTTATTGTACGAATACACCAACAAAGCATGCGTCAGAATATGTTTCTGTTTTTACTGTAGAAGTTTTTACGCCCCCTTCGACACAATATGGATAATTTAGGAGGCGGGCTTCGATCCCACCTGTCATGGCAAGCCCAGGCGGAAAGGGATACGATATCCCCGCTGATGAAATACTCGGTAACAATTAAGCATCCCTGCTCTGAAATCTGACGTGTGCAGTGAAGTCTCAACGCCACAAACAGTAGTTAGGTTGTTTTTTTATAGTTATTATGTACTATAAAACATGTTAATATAAACTCAATTAAGAGTTCATAAGCGGGCCTCACTACCAAAACTGACCCAATCCTACAGAAGAGCCCCTCAACCCCACTCTTTTTCGCCCCGATTTGCGTCAGACGCTTACTGATCTGGGTCACCCAAGGAAGTTATAAAGTAAACGTCCTTGGTGTCACCCAATCAGTTCGTACGCAGACGAGTGGTAATTCGGTCGGTTCTCCTTCTCCTTCTCCTTCTCCTTCTTCTTCTTCTTCTTCTTCTTCTTCTTCTTCTTCTTCTTCTTCTTCTTCCTGGTGACAGTCGATCATCACTGATCAATATGTCCTGTCTGTGTACCACGAGTCACACAGACCTGCGTATAATGCGACAGCAGGCTTAGAAAATGAAATAGTGTAGGTGTCAAATAAATGACGTTAGTCGAAAACAATTTCCTCAGACAGTTGAAGGCTCATTGTCCCAAACGTTACTCACTATACAGATTCGGCCATGTCTATGATGGACTTACTTGGTACGGACGTATGGTACCGATTTTTTTCTCTTTTTCAGCAGCAAGCAGATTGTTCCAAATTACAAATCTGACGTCGTTATCGTTGTTGCTAAGTGAAACAGAATTTATAGCCGGACTTGCTTTCTATTGTTTGGATCAACAGTATCGGCGTTCTACTTTTTAAGAAAAGTGAACAAAGTGCTTTTAATATTTGTAAGCAGAAAATCAGACGAAAAATAATGTAAGGGGAATTTTGACTAGGACATCCATTTGAAAAATGAAACAAATTTTTGTAAATAAGTTTGGAGTATTGTTTGATGTATTCCATATTTTGAAACTAAACATACTTTAATATGTCCTGCAGTAGAGAAGAAGAACAAAGAGGTTTACATTGCACCCTGTCATTAATGGATAACTTTGCCTCCGTTGTGTAACTACTAAGAATTGTAGCGAATTTACGGTATTTATAAATCCTCTGACTTGTGGGCGTGAGCCAAATTTCAGATATATGGATGAGCGAAATATAAACATAATTTTATGGTTACGAATCCCTTTTTGTTTATGCTGTGAACTTTGCCGTAGACATGAGTCATACCAAACACTTTGTCATTAGAGCTTCTGTGACTGAATATTGTTAGACAGAAGGACTGCTGTAAGTAGTGTTAAGTACACAAATGCATTTTTTACACTGCTAGTAAAGCATTAAATAGTCCTGTTTTCCTACGAGGAGCGCCTTAGATGTTACGCTGAAG